TGCCCGCCGGAGCCTCTGCACCGATCACACAAGCTATTATTTGCCTTCCAGTGCAACCCAAATCCTTTTGCAAGAGCTTCAACCAGATTTTCCCCGCTCGGACTGGGACTCGGACTTGCCTCCACGGACTGGATTTCGGATTGGTTTGCGGCCAGAACAACCCTGTCACCGCAACTACCCAAGAATTCACTGATTAGAGGCGCAAAAGGAGCCAGGTCGGGCAACTCACTGAGATTTCTGGTGAGGTAATAGCCATTGAAGGTGGTTTTGTTTACATGACAAGTAAAATGACTGAAGCACTTTGGTATTGGAGTTGGAGGAGAAGGAGGAAGAGGGGGGCAATGATAATAGAGGTTTATATCCTGAGTATCGGAAGTAAATTCAAAGAGGTCAGGATTCAAAGTGGTGTTGATTAGCAAGGCGGGGCAGAGGTCATCTAGATAATCGGCTCTGGCCACGTTGAGAATCCGGGACTGGTTGTTGATTCCAAGGACTTGGTATGTTGCTGACATGGTTGTGATCTCCAGGATTGAGTCTCTGCAGTTCAGCTGGAACCCTGGGAAGCCACAGTAGTCCGGCCTGCCTGAGCCCCAGAAAGGATAGCCAATATTCTCAATGTTTCCACAGGCGACAGTCCTGTTGCAGTTCGCATAACGTTCATCCACAGAGGATGCAAATTTAGGAGCATGGATCAAAACGAAGGTGATGATGATGAAGAAGAAGAAGAAAGATCCAGGGAGGTGAAGGGGATGCATTTTCTTAGATGAAACAGAGGAGGGAAAATGACAAGATGGGGATGAAGAGGTTGCAAATGGATGAGGAACTGGTGGGATTGATGGGTGAATTTCAAGAAGTTGTTGGTCTGGACTCTGGAGGGAAAATAAGAATTGATATGGTATGTAAGTGCGTGAGTGAAAAGCAAGGCTGTGAAGATAATTCAAAGAAACTGCTAGACAATGCATTTGGTTGACTTGAAATACTTCGACTCTTCGACTTCTTTGCAACAATTTACTCCTATTATTCCATTGACAAGAATTCTTCTACCGTGCTGGACGGACCTATTATGTCTTGTGCAATAACACCTTTTTCCTATAATAACCAAGTAGTATTTAGCTGTATGTATGAATTATGTGATGGCTACGATCGCCTGGCTAATCCATTCTGAACCACAGATGGCACGGTAGGATGATGCCTATGTTATGACATGCTAGATTGAAGATAATGACACAGTTTATACAAGGAAATTTCTTAATTAATGTGGAAGGAAAGACTAAAAAGTCTACCTGGAAATAAAGGTGGAAAAAGAAGCGAAAAATAAGACTGTTTTACGAGCTTTGCTTGCTATCCATGGAAGCGGAAGTTTCCTCCTTTGACCTGCTTTTGTCTGGTGCCAAACAATCTTCATTTTTCAATATATTGTGTAGAACACGGGTCAAGCTGACTTGTAACGTCATGGCCGTATGAATTAATCCCATGAACAATCTTCACTTTTCAATATATAGCGGAGGACACGGGTCAATCTGATTTGTAAAGTCATGGGCAATTTACTCCTATACGATGAACAAAGCAAATCAACATATGCACATCTTCATCTCCTTGTCCTCACATGCATCTTCTTCTGTGGCCTGCAAGCAAGCTCATACTTTATAAAGTCCTTTGATAAGCCAGCAAAGTTCTTTAGAAAAAACAAATTGTAAAATTAAATATTACTACTTTTGTTATAATTCTCATTTTACATGTTTTAAAGTTTGAACTTAAGATTTTTTTTTTTCTTTAAAACAAATTTGAAATTTAGAAATGGATTGAATTAGATATGATTCAAAAGATTGGATTAGATTGGATTATATAGGATAAAACATATTTGAATCAAATGAAATTTTTGTTTAAACATAATATAAAGTGGGATTAGATATAAATATTCATTGTTATAGACTAAAATGCCCTTGCATTAAAAGTACTATAATTATTTTTCATTTTATTCTTATTTAATTTGTTTGACAATAATTAATTTACTTTTTATAATAAACAATTAAGTTAATGCTGATTAAGTTAGGAATTTATTAAAAATAAAAAATTGTCATTGATTACTCGAACAAAAACATCAAAAATTCCAAGTCAAATATCATCAATTTTTCTTTGTTTTATTGGAAACCAGACAACTAAAATACTAAATTAACTATAACAAAACCAATTGATATTCATGTTAGTCATATCCAAATTTCAATTGAAATCAATACTAAATTCTACATAAAAAATTAGTTGGTGTGGTTTAAAAAATCAAAGAAAACAACCAAAAAAGAAAAAAGAAAAAGAAAAAGAATGAGACTTCATTGAATTATTGCGTGAAAAAAAAAAAAAAATCAAACGATGAACTAAGATCAATAGCAATTGTTTGTTACCTCCACTGTCCTCTTTCATCCCATCATCCATTTGCATCAAGATCTGTGAAGTTCATATCTTCTCCAGTGACATCTTGTCTCAGATTTGTGAAGGCCAAAGCATTTTGCTAGTGAGAGAAGCCATGAGATCATCTAGCAGAAGAAGATGGGGAGGTGAGTTTGATAGGAAGTAGAATACCGTCGACGCTTAAGAAATTTGTTGCCATGACCTGTGAATCTGTGATTGATGCCAATGAATTCCATCTTCGATTTAGCTATTAAAATGATCTTTGATGTTTGAATAAAAGATCAAAATTGAAGAAGTTGCGATAA